GACATGTCCGAAATCCGATCCCTCCCTCCCATCCTTTCCTTCCCATTGCGCAGATGTTCTCTCTCCGCGGGCGCGTGTCAGAGCATTCCCGGAACTCCAATAGAAAGACCCCATTATGTTATGCACAATCGGAAAACGGGAATTGCGTACATAGGAGATGGCGAGTGAGCAGGAGCATGAGCAGGAGAACACGGTTGACGAAGTTGAAGATGATGAGGATGTTAACGATGATGATGTTGATGATGATGGTAGTGTGGTGATCATGTTGATTTTGATGTTGGTGATGGTGACGATGACGGTGACGATGCCGATGATGATAGTGATGATGATGACGACGATATTGTTGATGCTGATGATGACGACGATGATGATGTTGATGATACGCATGACGATGATGTTGGCGGTGGTGGTGATGATGATGATGATGATGATGATGCTAGTGATGGTGATGGTGATGACCATGATCATGATGAACATAATCGTGATGATGATCAGAATCATGATGACGATTGCGATGATGATGTTGGTGGTGGTGATGATGATGATGATCATGATGATATGCATGATGTGCGATGATGATGATGATGATGGTGATGGTGATGGTAATGGTGATGGTGACGACGACGATGATGATGATGCTGCTGATGATGATGAGGAGGAGGAGGAAGAGGAGAAGGAGGGGGGGAGGAGGAGGAGGAGAAGGAGGAGGATGAGGTTGAGGATGCTGATGATAATGAGCAGGATGAGTATGATGATGAGGATGATACTGATGGTGGTGATGGTGGTGATGATGGTGATGATGATTATGATGATGATTATGATTATGATGATGATGATGATGATGATGATGATGATGACTATGACTATGATGATGATGATGATGCCGCGTATGATGGTGATGACGATGGCGATGACGATGGTGATGATGGTTGTGATGGTGATGATGGTGATGATAATGATGATGCTGCTGATGATGATGCTGATGGTGATGTTGGGTGTGGTGGTGGTGGTTGTGATTGAGGTGATGGTGATTGTGATGGTGATGATGATGGTGACGACGAGGATGGTGGTGGTGATGATGGTGATGATGGTGGTGATGATGAAGAAGAAGAAGGCAGAATCTCGATTGTAAGGAATGGGAGGAGCAGGAGGACCATGGGAGGGCGGAGGAGGGGAAATGACGGGGTCGACATCGATGAGCTTGGATCCAGGAGGGTGGCCCGCGCTTGGGCGTGAGCGCCGTTCGGAACGACGGGGGCGCCGATCCGCAAATGAGGTCCACACTGCAGCGGGAGGGCCATTTTGGAACGCCGACAACAGTCGGAGAGAACAAAACCTAAGAACAGTCGATGCTTCACATCCCGTACAGTCGGGGCCCTGAAGAAGGAACCCTTTTCGTTGGGGAGGGGCTCCGCGTTCCTTAAGTGTTTCGCAGCTTGCCTCAGGCTTTCCTTATGTTTTCGACAGGAAATCGAAGGCTAACTTATGGAAAAAAGGGGCATCGTTCCTTATTTAGGGTTCCTTAGGTCAACGCCCCGACTGTATGCAAAAGAACAGTACGCGGAGAAGGCTGGAGATCTTCTGGACAGAGTCAGGGGAGACAGGAGAGTAGTATTCGCAATGTGTGATTGCGGAGAGGAGAGGACAGAGCAAAGGAGAGGAGGGGAGGGGAGGGAAGGGGAGGGAGAGAAGGCCAAGTCGTCCGCAAGGGCGCGAATACAATCACACCTCGTTGTCTGGGCCGCAAAGTTTCCTTTCTGCAAGAGGGGGGGTGGGGGGCAAGATAATGGCGTTCCTTCGCGCCTGGCACGGCACAAATGTGGGTGGAGGAGCAAATAGGAGGAACGACGAGGACGGAGGAGAATGAGGAAGTACGAGGAAGCAGGAGGAGGGAGAAGGAAGGGGGCCGGAAGGAGGAGGAAGGAAAGAAGAGGAAGGAGGGATGAGGAAGGAGGGATGAGGAAGGAGGGAAGAGGCAGGAGGGACGAGGAAGGAGGGAAGAGGCAGGAGGAAGGAAGAGGATGATAAGGATGAGGTGAGAGGAAGGAAGGAGGAAGGAGAGGAGGAAGGAAGCAGGGAGGAGGAATCAGGATAGTGGATCACCAACGGTGCAGAGCAACGTGCTTGAAAGTAAGCTTGAGGGGGAAACTCACTCTCCTGCAGCATGCGCGAGAGGAAGAGAATGTATCCGTCGCACCCGCCCAATACAGTCATGATCAAGTCCCCCCTTCCTCTGCTCGTTCCGGTGAGTTCCAGCCTTGATCGTGCCGTTCGCAACCGCTCCCCAAAGAGCGGCACGACTTCCAATGAACGCCAACTCGGCGGATCTCAGGCCGTGAACCTTCGCAGTCGGTCCAGCGCGTCGGTCAGGTCATGCGTGTCCCTCCCCGCCCATTTCTCTCCCCCCCTCCCCACCCTATCCATCCAAGGATACTGTGCAAGGTAAAGCGAACTCAGGAGGATGGGGAGAAGGGCGGACCTCGACAAGACAGCGGACCGCGCACATGCTGCTGCAAGCATACCACCTACACGCATCGAGGACTGCTCACTCTAAGACTCATGATTGCTTCAAGGACCGACCACAACGCTGTTTAGCTTGGTTTGGGTCCTTGTTTAGTTGTTCGTTTCGATGTTCATTGTTGTTTCGTTTCGCTTTTCGTTGTTACTTTAAGCGCCCCGTTTCGTCGTTCGTTTTCGTTTGGCACAGGCTTCGTTTCAAACGTTGGGCCTCGTTTCGGTGTTCGTTGTAAGCTCCATTTCGGTTTAAACATCGTTGTGGTCGGTCCCTGGATTGCTTGGAGCATCGGGCAGCCAGTCCGAAGTCTGACCGCTGCAGCACACTGCAGATCACTCTGCGCTCTCACCGCGCAGGTGCAGGACCATGGGGCCCGCGCCTTCCCATCGGATGCTGCTGCCTCGGCGGACATCGGTACGCGCACCGACTTGCGAGGAGGGCCTCGCTGGCGCGCGTGCTGGGCGTCCTTACCCCGCGGCTCTCAAGCCATAGCTCGGCTCCCTCGCGGCCGTTCGGGACGATCCCGGCAACCCCCGGGACGCTCTCGACGAGGCGCAGCGGATGGGAGCCACCCTGGGAGTCAACAATGTCTTAACATGTTGGAAGGCAATCACCGACTGGACGTAAGACTGACCTTTCGCCGGACTGACCTTTCGCGTCGTTTTCAGATGGCTGAAAACGACGCAGGAGCAGCGGCTTGCGCGCCCAGGTTTGGCCCCCCCGCGGCCCCCCACAAAAGCCGCGCAACAAAGGTCACTCTTACCCAGGGTCACTCTTGCGTGTACAGTCGGGGCGCTGAAGAAGGAACCTTTTTCGTTTGGGAGGGGCTCCGTGTTCCTTGGTTGTTTGACTGTTTGCTTTAGTTTGACCTTCGGTGTTCGAATGGAAATCGAGGTTAAACTTCAGGAAGGAAGGGGCCTCGTTCCTTATTTATCGCTCCTTAGGTCAACGCCCCGACTGTAGCCGAAATCATGCGAGAGCTTCCCCCTCGTCCTCGTCCGCACCTGCCCCCCCCGCTGGTGGCCGCTCCGACTCGAGGCCTGGGCCCGCCGGGGCCGAGGGCCGCGCGTGGATCCCGCCGCCCGGGCGCGTGCGCTCCGGCCCTGGCACGGCTGTGCGCCTTTCGCCGGTGCGGGTACGCGGGGGTCCCCAGATGACTCGGGAGCGGAAAAGAGGGTGTGATGACTGGGGGGGGGGATTTCATGGCGCTGGCCACGATTTTTCCACAGAGTTCACGGCGCCTCTTCTTGTTTCATTGCGTCCCAGGTCCCCCCGCTGGGCCGCGCACATGCCGCCGGTCATGATTTGCACCCCCCCCTCTTGGACACCCCCCTCTTGGCCGCTCCCGAATGACTGCACGCGATGCGAAAGCAGCGTCTTGCGCGCTCGGGTTGGGCCTCCCGGCGTCCCCCGAACGTCGCGCACCAAGCCTGGACCCCCGACGTCATGATTGTTTCATGACGTCGACCCTCAGAGGTCTCGACCCATTTCCCAGGACCAGTGGTCCATCCTGAGTCGTGGCTTGACGGTCCCGAGGGCCGGCCAGGGCCTCCAGAGGCCGAAAATATGGAAAAACCTCCCGCCGTGATTTCTGTCATTCGCCGAGGGGGGTCTGGGAAGGCCACCCTTGCCCAGGGCCCCTCCTGCGTGTAGCCGACACTGGCGCCGCCTGGCGCCTTGCGCGCGGCGGCGCCCCGCGGCGGCCGGGGCCCGCGGCCATGCTCGCAGCGGCGCCGCCGCGGCCGCAGCCCGCCGCGCGGGCGGCCCCCGCCCGCGGGGCGCGGGCGGGCGCCGCGCAGGGCGGCGCGGCCGCGGAGCTCGGCGCGGCCGCCGGCGGCCCGCCGGGGCCCCGGGGCGCCGTGGCCGGGGCTGCTCGTGCCCGGCGCGGCCGCGCTGGCGCTGCGCTGGCGCAGCGGCCGCCAGCCGCGTGCCGCGGGCGCGGCGGGCGCTGGCCGCGGAGGGCCGAGGCGGCGCTGGGTCGCCGTCCTCCCTGTCTCCTCCTCCTTCTCTCCTCCTCCTCTCCTCCTCCTCCTCCTCCTCCTCCTCCGCCTCCTCCTCCTCCTCCTCCTCCTCCCCTCCCCCTCCTCCTCCCCGCCCGAGGGGGCGCTCGGCCAGAGTAGACAAGGATGGATGCCTCCCCCTACGCTCGTCTCCTCCCCCCCCCTCCCTCCTCCTCTCCTCCTCCTCCTCCTCCTCCTCTACTCCTCCTCCTCCTCCGCTCCTCCTCCTCCTCCTCCACCTCCTCTTCTTCCTCCTCCTCTTCGTCCCCCTACCCCTCCTCCTCCTACTCGTCCTCCTCCTCCTCCTCCTCCTCCTCCTCCTCCTCCTCCTCATCCTCCTCCTCCTTCCCCTTCTCCTCCTCACCCTTTTTCTGGTGTTGTTGTTGTTGTTGTTGTTGCTGCTTTCCATATGTTTTTCGTCCTCCCTCCCCGAGGCGGCGCCGGGTCGCCAGGGCGGCGTGCGACGTGGCGGCGTGGAGGAAGGGCTTCCAGGTCGACCCCGGGCCAGCGACGGCGGACGGCTTCTACGCCGTGGAGATCTAAGAAGAGCAAGCGCCATAGACATAAGCTTTCGGCGCTCCGCGCGGATTGGATTTATTGGATCCGCGCTGGGGCCCCCTCGGCGGCGCCTCCGGCGCCTCCCCTGGCGCGCTCCGCGCGCTAGGGAGGGGGCTCCAGCGCGGATCCAAGAAATTCGCGCGGAGCGCCAAAAGGAAAAGCTTATGGCGCTTTTTCTTCTTCGTAGGAGAGCGACGCGGCGGGGGTCCCGGAGGGCATGGTGGGGACGTTTTTCTGGGTGACGCCCGGCAGGTTCAGCGCGTACGGCAAGTACGTCTGCCACCCTCTGGACGGGGACGGCCTGGCCCTGGCCATCACGTTCGACGCCGAGGGCCGGGTCTTCGTGCGGCACCGCCTGGTGCAGACCCAGGGCCTGCTCCGCGACGACACGCTGGAGGCGACCTGCAGCAACGGCGTCCACGGAACTCCAGGACAGCAGGCCAGGGAAATGTACCGTTTTCCCCCCGCAGCTGCGGATAGGAGTCAGGGGGCGGCGGGGTCGTCGGCAGCCTGCATGGCTCCAAAGGAGCCCGCCGCAGGCTCCCGTTCTTGGAACATTGTACCCCGAGTCGCGGGCGGGTCGCTGGCGCGTCGCGGGTGGGTTGCGAAGGTGTCACGGGCGACAGCGACAACAACAGCGGCAGCAACAACAACAAATAAAACAAGAACACTTCGGGCATCTACCCAGAGATGGTATTAGACCGTTCAGCCCCCTCACTCTGACCAATAGCATCCCTCGTTTTCGCAGTTTTGGACCGTCGCCATGGTTGGACTGGCGTCGAAATCTTGAACAGACCGCTCCCTGGGAGTGGTCCGGAGAGTCGCGGTATCGGTATCGTGTTGTGTCCCCAGGACAGGGCTGGGGCCCGTTGAATCTGCGGAACGGTATCAAGAATCCAGCCAACGCCAACGTGTGTTTTTACGAGGACAGGCTGTTGGCCACGTGGCCGTATGGCTCACCTTACAATCTCGACCCAGGCAGCTTGGCTACCCTGATCGGGGCCGATGACGCCGGTTCCACCGACCTTGGCGGTCTCCTCCTGCCTGGCAAGCCGCTGTCCACGTTCGGGCCCAGGCCCAAGCTGGACCCCAAGGGCACCATAACCAGCTACGGGGTGAAGCCAGATCTGCTCGGGACGAGGGTGAACATCTACGAGGCTTCCGATCCCTCCCCCTCTCATCCGCTGGCTCCTCCTTCCTCCTCGCCTTCCTCGAGGGAACACTTGTTAAGTCGGGCCTGTCCCTCTACAGGAGGAAAATATTCAAAAATTGTCAAAAAATAGTCCGGGGACTATTTTTAAAAAATAGTATTTTGGGAGCATGCTTTCCGTATGTTTAAGTTTTCGCCACCAAATACCCCTGTAGGGGGACAGGCCCGACTTCAAACACTACTGTGCTGCCGCGGGCTCAGCGATCGCGCGAGCCGGTCGGGCCGGGGGCGGGCTGCGCGAGGGCGCACCGAAGGCACCAAACACACACGAGCTGGCGCGCCGCATACGCGCCGCCCGGCGGGGGGGGCCGCGGCGGGGCCCAGGGCCGACCCGCAGAGCTCGGCGCGGGCCTCCAGAGGTGGATAGACGTATGTCGGGCCTGTCCCCCTACAGGGGGATTTTCGACGAAGAATACAACATACCCCAAAAATGACCAAAAAAATAATCCAAAAATAGTCTGGGGACTCTTGTTTGAGTATTTTTTGATCTTCTTGGGGTATTTTTGAAGTATTCTTATTTTTTCGTCGAAAATTCCCATGTAGGGGGACACGCCCGACATAGGATAGACGTCCTACCCTGACACGTCGATTCAGGAATTTGCCGTTCTCGGTTCGCGAGCGAGAGGGCATCGCGGCCGCCATTTTTGCGGGTCCAGGTCCGCTGGTTTCGGTCCCGGGCCGTTTTCATGAATGGGATGTTTGCTGAAGGGAGGTTTTTCCACCGCCGAGAAAGCGCATGTCCATACGGTTTCCCAAACAGTTTTTGCTAACAACCCAGACCCCGACGTCATGATTTCTGCAGAACGTCGACCCGGAGAGGTCGATCGACCCCTTCCCCGGGACCGGCTCCTCACACCCCGAGCCGTTTTTCGACGGCCCTGAGGCCCGGGGAGGGCCTCTCCCGAGGCCGAAGGTGTATGGAGAAGCCCCCCGCCGTGTTTTTTTTTCTCTCTCCTTGCCCGAGGAGGGCGTCTGGGAAAAGGCGGCCCCTCGAGCAGCGGGCTGGGCCTCCCGCCCTGCCGCCGCCCGCGGCCGCCTCGGGGGCGCCGCCCCGTGGCCTCTCTCGCGGGCGCTCGCCCGTGGGCGCCGCGTGCGCGGGCTTCGGGTGCCCGTGGGCGCTCTCGCCCGTGGGCATTCTCGCCCGCGGGCGCCCCGCGGTCCAGACCCCCCCCCCCTGGAGGCAGGAAGCAGTCACGACGGGAGGCTGCTTCTGCTCGGCCTCCGGGGGCGTGGGCGCCTCGCGCGGGCGCCCCGCGGCCCAGACCCCCCCCCCTGGAGGCAGGGAGCAGTCACGACGGGAGGCTTCTGGTGCTGCTCGGCCTTTGGGGGGCCCCTGCCGGGCCTCGGGGCCGTCACAGCACGACGCGGGAGGAGAAGCCGGCCCCCGGGGAAGGGGTCGAGACCTCTGGGGGTCGACCTTCTGGTTAGGCCGGACGTGTCCCCCTGCAGGCAGATTCTGGACGAAAAGTAAAGAATAGTCAAAACATGTTCAATTGTTTGAAAGATTCCCCGGGCTATGTTTTGACTATGTTTGAAGATTCTTTGTGTAGAGGGACAGGCCCGACTCAACCTTATGAAGAACTCATGACGTCGGGGGTCTGGATTTGGTGCGCCTCGTGCGCGGGCTGCACTGTGCCGCTTGCACCGCACAGCGTCCGCCACATCGCCTCCACGCAGAGGCCATGCCCCGCACCGGTTGCACCACACGACGTCCGCCACACGGATTGCACCGTGCAGCTGCGACCACGTGGTTCACACCACGCCAGTTTGCACCACACAGCTTCCACCACATAGCTTGCACCTCTAACGTGCACAAACTCATTGTTTGGGGCCCGCGCTGGCAGACGTGCTTATTGCGAAGGCCTTACGGCCGGTGCCGCCGACCCTGAAGACGAAGAAGAGGAAGAAGAAGATGTCGAGAGGGGGGAGGGCGCTCTTGGGCCGTCTCGGGGGCCATCTTGGGTATTCGGACCTCATTTGGAGTGTTTTCGAGGTTTCGAGGCCGCCCGAGGAAAAACGAATCTGCCCCCCCCCCACACACACACACACACACACACACCACCCCCCGCGGGACCCCCCCCCGGGACCCTCCCCGGGACCTCCCCGCGACCCCCCCCCCAAGGGAAGGGGCTTCCCTTCGAATCTTCAAGGGCATGACGGCAGGAGGGTACGGCCCAAGAAGAAAAAAGGGGGAAGGAAGAAGGGGGGGCGGCGAGGAAATGATGCCGTTCATTTCATGTCGAATCTACAACGATGACGATCCGAACAACGGAAACACAACGATGTCGGACGAGGAAGCCCCTCGCACACGGAAACACAACGATGTCGGACGAGGAAGCCCCTCGCACACGCCGACAGCGTCGGCGGATTCTTAGAATCCCGTGAGTACTGAGTACGTAGGGATAGCGGTACGTTACCAGATTTCCAGGTCTTTTGCTGCCCCGCATTGCCAGAGACGAGTGGCTGAGCACGCATGGCCGAGGGCCGCCAGAAACTCGGGGGCCCCCAGAACGCATCCTGATCCAATCGCATCACGGCATCATCATCGCCCCCCACCCCCCACCCCGCGAGGCCAGGGAGTCCTGGAGGTCCCGCTACCCGAAGACGGCGCCGAGGAGCGTCGGGCTGCCCGGCTACTCGTGGGTCACGGACTCGGCCTCGACCCCCCGGTGGGCGGTGCTCGCGGTGCCCCCGTGCAAGGCCGACGCCTTCGCCGCCGCGCAGGGCAAGCACCCCGCGCAGGTGCTCAGCTGGGACGAGGGCGCGAGCGGCGCGCTCGTCTTCGCGACGCGTGCCAAGGAGGGCGCCAAGGAGGCCACGGTGAAGCTGGACGGCCGCGCCGTGGAGAGCATCGCCAACGCCTTCGAGGCGGAGGGCGACAGCGGCCGCGTGACCGTGGACGCGGCGGCCGCGGACGGCTGGGTCCTCGCGCCGCAGGCGCCCGAGGGCGCGTCACCCGAGCGCCCCTTCTGGGAGGTGCTGAGCCCCGACTCCGCGCCGCGGGCCCAGCTCGTGCGGTACGAGGTGGACCTCCAGGCCCACGGGGGGGAGCAGACCGGCAGAGGCAGCAGATCCTCGGAGTCGGAGCTCCGATGCTCCTCCTCCTCCTCCTCCTCGTGCTCCTCCTCCTCCTCCTCCTCCTCCTCCTCCTCCTCGTCCTCCTCATCCTCCTCCTCCTCACGGGCCCCGCGACTGTCAGAAAACTACCCAGGATGAAGAGATGGTCCTGGGGGAAGGCCCCAGGGTCCAGGGCCCGTGTTCCACAGGACCCGCTTCCCGCATGCTAATACTCCTCCGTCTCCCCCTCCTCTTCCTCCTCCTCCTCCTCCTCCTCCTCCTCCTCCTCCTCCTCCTCGTCCTCCTCCTCCTCCTCCTCCTCCTCCTCCTCCTCCTCCTCTTCCTCCTCCTCCTTCTCCTCCTCCTCCTCCTGCTCCTCTGTTTTGGCATTCAGTGGGCGTGCAAGATGGTAGGGTCACTCACGGAGCGGGGGCTCACCATCATTCGTTCACTCCCGCTGTCATCGGCCCGCGGCACCACAGCAACACCGGAGGTCCGCGCGGACTTCTTTGGGCCGGCGCCGACGCCCCCTGGCGGCGCCTCCGGCGCCGCCCTTGACGCGCTCCGCGCGCCAGCGAAGGGGGTCCAGCGCCGATCCAAAGAAATCCGCGCAGACCTCCGAGAGCTCAGTGTCGGGAGGAAAGCCACCCCGATCACCAT